AGAACATAGGCTTGCAAAGACTTCTTCACCAGAGGCAGCAGTGCCCCCTTCGCTGCCACTGCACAGACTTGTCAGAATTTTCACACGAAGACCATGGTGATGTTTGCTGCAGATGCTCTTGACAATGTGCCTGCCCGAGAAGCCGAACTTCAAGAAGACAAAGCAGGGGCAGTGGCAAGGTACGCATGAAGGAGTGCAGACGCTTGTAACAAGCGCCCGGTGTGCAGATTTCCTCCTCCCAAGAAGGAGGATAGAAAAACACTTCCTGTGATAATGCCAGACGCTGACAAGCAAGATGGTGAGGAGAAGAGGAGGAAGAGGCTTCCAACTTCAGACCCCAAGAAGGTTGTGAGGGGCTTGAAATTAAAGGAATCAAAACGAAGGAAGGGGGGTGAGGACCTTAATCGACAATCGGATCTACCTGAAAATCTTAATTGAACCAACATCACAGCTTCTTCGGAAACGTCAAGTCCTCGGAGGACACTGCACAAACATTGCAGACACATCAGCCCCGTGCAGGGGTCATCCCCAGAAAAAAGAACATGCTCCATGTTCTTGTTGGTCCCGATGGTGCATTATGCATTGATTTCATGAATGGCTGAGAGCTTATATCACCTCAATCGCTGAGAATACAAGTGTCAGTTCAACCGTATGGGCCTCTCAAAGACGATCAAAGGCAGCCTGGACGTCAATGTTTGGTACTACGGTTCCATGTTTAGTCACCGAGCAGTTGGCCAATTGGGGTCATGCCAACATGTCGTTCTACACTCGATGCTTCAGGCCAAGACGGTGCTCCACACGACCGTCGTACCAAGGAAGATGTAGCTGCTACAATTGTGCAGTTGAAATCACTGTCACACGGTAAGACAAGGTCCATCATACCCATGGTGTCCAATTAAAGACTGAAGGTGTTGTATTTCTTGAATGTTGTTTCCCGACAGAGCTCGATCTGCTGTTTTTCTTTTTAGATTTTTGAACCAGGATGACATTGGACCTTCTTTCCTCTGCCGTCAGTGTCGCCGGGAGGATTTGGTCAGAACCTTGGTGTTGTTTTGGTGGCATTTCATTACATTTCATCTTGGGTAAACATGTTTTTACCTCTATTTTTTTATATTCATATTCGTGCATAATGTTACATCTGAAGACATCGCAGTTTTCGTAGCGGAATCCTTGAGTATTGTTGATTTGACCAAATCAAGTGTCAGGGCATCGCAAGAGAAGACGGGCAAGAAAGTGGAGAGCAAGGATGGGGGTGTTCCATCATCCTTTTGAGCGATGGCAAGGCTGGACCTGGACTTGAAGACACGTTTTGCATGTCTCACCTATTGTTTTTGTTGCATATTTGCTTATTATGAACTTGTGTCAGACCAAACCATGTTGTTGTAGAGTCGTTGTTGAAACATCATGAAATATTCACTGAAACACGTACGAGGCGACGTTTGTGAAGATTGCCAGATGGCGGGGGCCACCAAGAGTCAAGCTGAATGGCTAAAACCATCTTATGATTCAAACTCTTGACCGCAAGCCGAGGCTTGTCCAAACGAGCGTGGAACAAGAAGCTACTAGGGGCTCCTGGCTTGACTACTAGGAGCAAGGATGCTACTAGGGGCTCCTGGAATCGCTACTAGGAGCAAAGTCCAAGGCCCTTTCTTCTCGTTGGCCAGATGGGGCTTCACTGAGCCATGAAAGCGAATCTTCCTTGGTGCTATGTGTATGGCTTGAGCGGTTTCCATATCGACACAGACAGACGGTATATATAAATATATGACAATACCCAGAAGTGGCAAGGGCATAGCGGCATAGCCTATATTATATATAATACCTTCAGATTCTTATTTTTGGATCGTTGGAACTCGAATGTCTTGCGCCCGTCTCACTGTTACGAAGTGGAGATGTGGCGAAGTCACAGTTCCAAGTCTCTCACTGTTACTGTCTGTTAGAACATTTTCTGAGGTTGTCTAATTAAATTGCAATGTACACACAGACCAGGCTAGGAAGAACCAAAGGAGACAGTGAGTCAGTGAGAGAGGCATTGAATTCAGACTTCTCGTCGAATCGCTTGGTTTCAGCACACCATAGGTGTGCTGCATTCGCAGAATTGCGAAGGACCTTTTTCCTGTGCAGCAACTTCTGATGCCATAGTCAGATGCAGCCATTAAATGATTAGGTCTGTGTGAGGACATGTTACTTGAACGGAGAGCTAGACTAGAGTGGCTAGAGACTTGGTAGGACTTGTGCGTAGACTTCGACGCGTCAGTCGTTGTGTCACATCGGAACGAATTAGGCCGTGAGTCGTGCCCTAGGCAGTACTCCAGGCACATGTTTTCAGTCCAACTACAGCGTTGAAGCCGGAGCTCGTAGAAAAGAGGAGCTCCACCAACCTCAGAATGTTGGGAGGAGACCCAACTTTTGTATGTGCTGGTGCTTGGTACTTCGGTGTTGTGTCCATGCTGCAAGGCTACGAAGTAGCACAGCACCATACAGTTTGGGAAGCAATGTTATTTCCTGCAGGAACATCGAACAAGTATAAATCATTGCAGTAGAATAAATGATCCAAACGAGTCTAATTAGGCGCTCAAAACACCAAATCTGACTGAGATACAGTCGGCACATACGGTAAATTGGCATGAATTTGTGCCATAGAAGAGGGTGAAAACGTGAAGCAGTTGCCAAAGGTGAAGCAGGTGGAGGTGAAGCAATGAGCCCTGTAAAGGGAACACTTCAACATACTTCGTCTAAAACACGCCCAAACCATCACAAAGCCATGGGGTCTGCCAATTCCAGTACACGATGTTTACCATTGTCACTAACTATGTACATAACTTTTGGACTGCGTATTTGCTACGACTGTTGTGGGTGAAGCGACTCGATGTGCGTTCTGACATGTTCTGAATGGAAGGAACTGTGAACAGATGGGTACGAGCCGATGATCACGGGTACGAGGTACGAGCTGATGAACCCAATCGTGTTGGGGATGTGTGGTTCGTGTAAAAGCCCGTGAAGGTACCGCTGTTCGCTGAACAAATGGAGGTGATTGTGTCGTGGACCGGATCCACCATGAATATGTGCTGTTTTGCTGTCTTGCTTTCAGCTTTCAAGGGGCCAAGACACACATTGGCTGGTGGATTTGTTTGTTTTCGGCTGAGATGTATGCTAGAGGAACTATTCTCTTAGCTGTGAGCATGCTGTCCTTACTGCTAAAATGGGTGTTGTTGAATCAAGGGACAGCTATAAAGATTGCAACTGTTTTGAGATTTCGCCGTGAAAACGCACGCGGCGGGTCGTTTTGGACCAGCAATGTCGTTTCATTTTTCATGACGCATTCCGAGAAGAGGAGTTGTGGTCCAGAAAAATGCGTTCCGTCGTTCTTGCCGGACGGAGAGGTCCAGGGGCTCCAGGCATTTGGTTTTGGCTGCTGTGTTTTTGCGGCTTTGAGAGGTCTAACTCTTTTGGATGGTTATTTTTAACATCTGCGTCATACATAGCTATGTTATGTTGTTTGAAGGTGGCCCCGATGTTTGAACTTCCTTCTCGAACCAAGCTCTTTCGCAGGCAGTTCCATCAGTCAGTCATTCGTTCTATCACTTTTCCAGGACCGTTTGGTACAAGGAGGGCGCCATAGGCAGGTGATGTCGAAGGGTGTGACAGTGCTGTAGCCACGCTGAGTGCCGAGTTCCTACGTGATCAACTACAGTAGCTTCGTCACAATTTGGCAGTGCAACCATAGCTCCGGAGTAAATACACTCCTTGAAGCGACCGCTAAGTGTGGAGCATGAACTCTCAAATCTTACGTATATAAGTTATTTTGATTTCCAGAAACAGTAACAAGTGCCACGCTAGTAGTAACAAGTGCCTTACTAGTAGTAACAAGAAGCTACTAGGAACAAGTGCATCGCTAGTAGTAACAGGTGCCTTACTAGTAGTAACAATGTTCGCTATTAACATCAATGGCTCACCACCTGTCACACGGGAGTAAGGCCGAGGCAGCGAGTTGATAATTCTTTGGCTGGGTGAAGACACGATACCCCGGAACTGCAGGCGACACAACCGGTACCTTTAGAGATTTCCAAGCCAGAAATTGAAAGTTGCTGCGCAGGAGTTGTGCGCCACGTGTCTCCAAGTACACGTGTTTCCAAGAGTCCGACAAAGACCGATGTTCGCTCCGACTGCTCAGCTTTGGGTACTGGCATCCTCTACGGTGCAACAAATGCGCTGGTGGGGCATCCGATGGATACCATCAAGGCAAAGTTGCTCATGGCTATTGTGCCAGACAGTTTGCAGCTATTGTTTGATCAAAATCAAGCAGAACATGTTCTTGTAAAATCACCCTTGACACATGCGCCAGGCAAAAATGCAAGCGCAGGTTGGAAGCTTGTGAACGAAGACAGCTTGAAACAGCGCTTGCAGAGCCGGCATTGAAGGCCACACTCTTCCCAGCCCTGTTGGAGTATTTTCCTCGGGCCAAGTTTTTCCCATTCGTGTGCGCTGAGATATTCATGCTTTGAATCCTCTAGGTCGGCTTCATGACGGGGCAGGAGAAGAAACAATCGGAACAGTGGACAAGACGCAATGCAAAGATATGCAAAGCACTGTGTATGTTCAAGAAGTTGCAGTTATTCTTGGAGTTTGCAGGGTGGTATTTGAGTTCGATTCTTGCATGGTGCGTTGGGGTTGCTTGCGCAAATCCTTCAAGCCCAATACCTTACAGTAGGACAGGAGGGGACAAGTCTTGGACTAGTCAATTGGTCCACCACATGCTACCATTCAACCTAGAACTGGTTGCTGTACGGCACAACAAGAGATATCAAAGGTCAAAGGTTTGTTGTTTGAATGGTGGAACCTACATAGCAATTTAGTGGAGGCTATATGTTGATCGCCGATATTATAATGATTTTCCTATAGCCTATAGGCCTGCTGTTCTCATATGTCTGAAGTAATAAAAAGCTGAATGGACAGAGCGCTCCATGGTAGCCCTCACCTAATGTGGCTCCTTTGTTGCCATGGAGAGTTGCGGGCCAACGGACACAGGGGCGGAAGCAGTTGTACGTCTCAATGTAGGCGGACACCAGTGGCTTGACTACACCACAAGAGCGAAATGCATGTGCTTGAATGAAACGATGATGAAATGCAATGCCTTCATGCTTATAATGTCTATGATTAATATAAGTACTGGTAGCACAGGGCATATGAGCATCTCAAGTCTTGAGCTAGCAAACGAGGTACACCACTGCAGTTTCAACACTTACCGGCACCGATGGAATGTTGGCAAGGATGGTGAACTTGCTTGCATGGCTTGAGCTGGGATGGGAAGCTCTCGATCGACACGTTTTTTTTGTTTGGCCTTCCGGATTGAATCATGATCTTCTTCGTGACCGGCAGCTACACATAGCATGCCAAGGCCACAATTTGAAACGACTCCTGACAATTTGTTGCTCGCAGAGAGCAGCTAGAAACTTGAACATGCAGGGCATCATCAAGAGGACCTCATAATTAGGTTTGTTGCCACATGCAGTACGGTAGAAGTGTTTGAGCAATTGCATCCATGGTTTATAGATGTTTATGGTATCGTATTTGTCAAGTCGGCACCCTGATTTGCGTCCAACAGACTTCTATTGTCGGGGATTGCGCTTCGACTTTGTTCACATCTGCATATATATATAATATTATATGTGAAAGGATAGTATTAGCTTGTCATTCCCCTTGTTGTTGCATTAACTTTTGCCGTGCCACCAAGTTTAATGGAACCTACAGCTCTACCAAAATCGATGGCGCATATTTCATCGATCGTGATGGTCAGCTCTTTCGGTATGTCTTGGAGCTCCGATGGCAGCAAGCAATGCTTAGGTGTGAAAATTGCAAAGATTTAGCTCAGTCAATTCGCTAGCAAGCTGAGAAGCTGATCTACAAATGTTTCTTCGCTCGTGTCTCAGAAGATGGTTTGAATTGTGAATGTTGGAAAGAGCAGCGCACAAAGCCGATTTCAATGGTCGGCTTGTTCTGCGACACTAGCACCAGGAGTTTCTGAGAAACCAGACGGTGCAATTGCCGGATTCGATCTCAGTTCCGGTCTCAGAAGGAGATGAACTTACTTGATGAAATATGATATATCCACAAACTAAAACAGTAAAGTCTGTCCTAATCTAGTTTTGCAATCTGTACACAGTTTATGTTTTGTGCACAATCAACACGATCAACAAGTTCAACTGTTGGACCAAATAGTTGTTCCTGTTCCTCCCTCGTTGCAGGTACTCCGTCAGATCCAACAGGAGGCTGAGTTCTTCGCCATTGCCGGCCTGCTTGCGGCAGTGAAACAGAAGCTGCTGGAACGTCGTGTGCGCGTGGAGATCCATGTCGAGCGCTTTCGGCACCTTGCAAGAAGCCGGAAGAACACCTTTCGCACCCCATCAGAGACGTCTAGAGTTGAGAGTTCCAGGAGCCTTCCAAACTTGTCCAGTTAGTCAAGCCAAGTAGAACTAGACGCCACTAGCCACAGAGGTTGTCTAGCACCTTTGTACATATGCACAGAGATATGGCAGGCCCAAAGACCGAGAGCAGAGAGTAAGAAGTCGTCTCTCTCTCTCTCTATGTATATGATATGATATGTATTATTATATAGTATGTATATATATATATATTATACAGCAAGAATAATAATCACAGCAAGCGTATATGTCTTTAGGGTATGTATATATGACACAGAGATATGGACGTTGCACTCATACACGCGCGGAGACTGCCTTTTGAGCCCTGCAACATCAATCACAGAAACAAACAGATCGCTTAGCAAAAGAACGTGTGGTTATCAGCTAGCCAGCTAAACTAGGTGCTCGGACGATGGCTGCAACTGCGGGGCTGGGCAGAAGGCCGGAGAAGAGTTGTATTCTCCTTGTACTAGGGGCCTATGGAGCCTGGCAGAGCCTTGCTTTACGAAACATTGGAGGTGTGAGGTGCCATACTGTATTTGGATGCTTTTGGTGTGAGAGGTGAGTCCAAGGTCTCTTGGGTGTGTCCTAAACATCGCAGCAGTGCCGCAACAGTGTGTAGCACGTCTTATTCCAATCAGGTAGAAGTGAGCGCCTTGGAGGGCTTGGCCTTTTTCGATTGTGAGCAGCTTGGGAAATGCAAGAAGCAGAGTGTGATGTATTGTGCATGTGGGGTTACAGTCACAGTAAATATGTTGATCAGGAGTTTAGCCTCCCTAGTCCAGTGGTAGGGCCTATATTGAAAGAGGACCAGAGTTGACACTAATTACGGTGACTTTAAGAGGTCCAGCAGAGTTTCAATTGCCACTAGCAAGTTCTGAATCAAGCAATGTCCATGAACTAGGCAAATCACGAAATCCCCTGAATCGAATTCTTCATGATGGCACTTGATTGGCGGCACAAAAAGCTTTGGAAGTGAAAACACCAGCAATGATTTAGCTAGAAGCTACTAGGTTGGAGGCCATCGCTATTAGGTTGGAGGCCATCGCTATTAGGTTGGAGGCCATCGCTATTAGGTCGGAGGCCATCGCTATTAGGTTGGAGGTCACCGCTATTAGGTCGGAGGCCATCGCTATTAGGTTGGAGGCCATTGCTACTAGTAACAAGAAGCTACTAGTAGCAAAATCGGTTCGATTTAGCCTCCACATCCACAGCACCTGAAAGTAGTACAGGAAAGGATACTGTATTGGGCTTGGCAGGCTGCTAGATTGTGTGGATGGCTTGTGGCACAGGCTTTTCCATCCGCGGCGGGAGCTGCGGCCAAATTGGACAACGCCAAGTGCATCTCTTTTGGTGACTTTGCATCCAGAGGCAGAGTAGCTGAGTAGCTTTTGCTTGCTGTTTCATAGTTACGTTCACAGATTCCTACTGAGCTTCAAAATTTGTGAATGGCAGGCTGCCACAGTGGTGTCAACACGTTACAAACTGAAAGTCAGGGTGTGATAAGAATGTGTGTGATAACTTTGGGTGCTAGATACATGTTTTGCTTGCACCGGCTCCCAGTTGATGTCATGGGAGATTGAGAGTCCGGCCAGGAAAGCCTTGAGCCTGCGATAGAGGCCGTGCACCATGCTATTCTTTGTGCAGACGAGGTCTGTGAGCAAAGTGCCAAGGAGATTGTGTTGGAGGCCGGAAGAGCAGTGATCAGCTTGGCAGACAAGAAAGGCTGGAAGAAACTGCAGCGCTGGTAGAGGCAATGCTCTTGCTCAAATTCTTTGGGAAGTTGAAGTCGGCTTCAATTGATTGATGTTGACTCTGACATGACTTAAGGCTTTCGATTCAGTCACTTGAGTCATCAGCTTGATCATATTCCAGCGATGGAAGAAACCTGCTTGATCTTTTCTGTAGCATATTTGTTCATGAAGAAGATTGAGCAAGTATTCAGCAGTCTGTTACATGCTGGGTCGGAAAAGATCGGAAGCGTATGGGATATGCTATGCATTAATATACCGGAATAGGCACAATAGTTTTTGTGTATATATAGTTATATAATGTATTATCCAGACATTCTTAAATTTTGTTACTTTTAGATAGATACATGTTGCAGGGACAAAACGCCCCTAATTGAATCTAATTAAGCACAAGTCCTCTCGGTTGAGTAGCAAACAGCTTGCAGAGGATCCAACAGCAATATACCGCAATTGGATACGCAAGTGGACGCCACAGGCAGACGGCAGACTACTGTAGGTAGGAGTTTCGGTCTAAGACTATCAGGTTGAAGGCCATCGCTCTTAGGATAGAAGGTTGGAGGCCATCGGTCTAAGAGGTTTGCGCATGTTCTTTGTGCCAGCTAGCGATTGACGTCGCTTGCGGCTCAGGAGGGCTCTCCAGTGCGACGTGCTTTGGGCGACTTGGCTGCGACTCCGGAGATGTGCTATCTCCAATGGTATGCCCGAGCCAACGAGTACAAGGCCGAACGAGTAGGGTGCGCGTGGCAGAGAGGATTGTGCGTATGGCTTGAGAATTGGACAAATGGAGACAGGCACCACGTTGCAGTCAGTGCATGGAGGGTAAAACAGTGGCGTTTGCAGCAGCAAGGAACAGAGTCAGACGGCAAGGCAACAATTGAAAGCGGGAAACATCATGTGGCGGTGGGGTCTCCTTGAAGGTTGGTGACACGCGAGACCCAAGCCTTCAGTATGTGACTGGGCCAAATTATATTAATGTATGTGTACTGCCCAACAGCCTGAATGAGGAGTCAATGAGTAGCCCAGGTACTGTCGTAGTACTGTCGTAGGACACTTAAGGCAAGGAGTTTGGTGAACTGTCTAAAGTATTCGACCAAGTCAGTCCTCAACGTGTTTGCAACCTATCTAGCTGATCAATGCTGAGGGATGGGAGACGTGATCAGGTTTTCATGCCCTACGGGGTCGACCTGTTTTTTGATGGTGATGTGAAGGATAGATGCTACATGACAATTTTCTTGTAATTAGTAGGTTGGAGGCCATCGCTAGTAGGTTGGATGCTAAATGGCCCCTTCCATCTCTTCTAAACAGAAGTCATCAGAAGTCGTTGAAACCATGTCTTCTAGGTGCACTACGCCAAGTGCGTGAAGCTGACCTTTGAAGTGCAGCTCGTTGGCTCACCCCCAACCGTGTCAGTTTGAGCAAAACACCGAGCTGGTTTGAGCACTCCTCGTTCGTGCGGCAAACGAAGCCAGCATGCAACAGCAGCGAACAAAGGATTTGTCCGATCAAACCGTTTGGGCCCAGCCTTTGCGTGGCAGGACATGGGCATGCTGGGCGTGTGCCGAAAGGTGCCATGTCGGGATGTAAAGGATCGTGAACGGCTTCAATTTCTTCCTTTAAATTGTGTAAGGAAACCTCCATGTTTGTTCCTTGGCAGTGCATTTCCTCCTCAGTGCAGATTGAGAATGATTGGGATTTGTCAACTTGTTGAGGACCCACAGATGAATGCAAGGCATTGCCTGTGAATTCACAGAAAGAATCGCCCATCAGTCTTGATTCGGATGATCACACATGATAAAATTACCTTTACACCCTTGATGTTGCCTTACAGCAGATCATCGGATGTTTTCCTTCTCACATGATTAGTGTACGTATGTGTTCCTTGGTTCGCATAGTTTTGTCAATGGTTTCTAGTTTCAATCAGTTTCTTTTGGCAAATTTGCACCTCATCTCGTAGCTATGCCAGGTTTGGCAGACTGAGGGTGTTCGAGGATTCTTCCGGGGCGTGCGCAGTTGCTTTTTCTATTACCCTCAAGCTGGACAGCAGGAGACACATTGGTTCTGCAAATTGGAGATGGGAAGTCCTGCTTTCTTGGTAAATGGACTTTTGTACGTTGGCAAACCGAGGAAACGAGCGACATGGATGTTCCATCTAGCTTTTAGGACATCATAATCTTGAGGTTTCACACTTATTTGAACATCGTTTAGAGATAGACTTGAGTTGCTGTGTCACTGGTATTTTTTGCAACACAACCAAGCAACGATGTAACATGGATCGTGTGGGAACTTGATTGGACTGCTTGATTGGACTTCCAGGAAGGGTTGTTGCCTCCTTTGACTGTCCGCGTGACTGTTTCAAGAGACAATGCACAGGTACTGCCACCCTTGATGGGCAGCTCTGTCCGGGCCGGAGAGGGGAGAGTGATCAGCAGAGGGGAGGGCAGTGCTGGCAGTTCTTGAAAGTCAAGGAGCTTGTTAGCTTGATTAGCCACGTAGTTTCTAGGCAAACAACAACACCTACCTAACGCAACTACACATGAATGCAACCATAACACACTATAGCTACAACTATATAACTATACAGCTGGCTGATTCTATTTGAATCATAGCTGTAGGAGCATGCTGTATTGACAGGGAAAAAACTTTGGCGGTCAAACAGAGTCAAACATGTCAGTTTGCTGCTCTCGATGCCAAGGCCTACCGATCTGCTCAGTTTGCTGTCTTCGAGGTTGTATGTGGGTCAGCAAGTGTCGATGTAAGTGTTTTTGAGGCACTGAAAGTTTAAAGCTGAATCCTTCAACTTTCCTTTTGAAGACCTGAGTTGTATCTATTGAGTCATTCAATACTGACAAAATGAAAAGCAGTGCAAGGCGAACTAAGGCTAACTTTTACACACTTTGGCAGATAGTTTGGAACGTCATTGCTTTCGGGCTCTAGCCGGGCTACCTAACCTGCCTGCCAGATGATTGCGTGTTGTGATTGATAGGCTGTTTACACGCGGCAGAAGGAGTTGGGCTGGGATGAGGCACTTTATGTCTTCAACCATGACAGACTGTTGATTGGTCGAAGGAAGGCTTTGGGATTTGGGGGTGTTGATTATGAGTACCTGATCGGAAACATAGGCTGTCACTGTGTCTTAAGGACTGCGATTTGCAAGTGGAGGTTTCCAAAAAGATACGTAGCATATGGATGATGCTAGACTCCTAGACACTGCAAGACGTTCACAGAATTTGCAGTGAACTATCAAGCACGTAATTCTCATCCGTGTGGAAGCTGAAAAATAACAAGGGAAGTAGAAGTAGGCTTCCCTTTAATAAGGTGCCGATTTGTGGCTTTCAAATTCTCTTGAGAACATTTGTTTTGCTTTTTGCCGTGGGGCAAAGGATACCCCGAATTCATATGAATTCATGGATCATCCATGATCATCCCATTTGATGTCATTGGATGATCTCTTCTAGATGGTCAAGTTGAACCTTTGACACAGAAGCTCACTCGTGTCGCCGTGAGAATAAAGAAGGCAAAAAGGGCCCCTTTAATGGTGCCTTACCTTCTTTTTGTCCTCAAAAGCTCACAGCTCAAAGCTCTCAAAACGAAGTCAGATCCACGCCATCAGATCCTCACTTTCCTCACTCGATTACCAGGTGACCATCCCTGGTACTGGCGGCCTGGCCTTTGCAACGGTGCCCGAGACCTGCGAGCCCTTTCTGGCGGTTTCTTATATATTCTTATATCATTTGAGCCAAGGTAGTTTGAATTGTTCATGCTACGCTGCTACTCTCTTAATCCTTATTTGTGCGTGTGCTCGCTGCATGTCGGATGCACAGGTGCTGGCTGGCATTTGTGGCTCCTCTACGAGGGCCGTGATTGAGTCACCCATCGAGTACGCGAAGGAGACACCGTCAGACATCCTTTGACGCCCAAATGTACAGGTCGTGTTCTTCAGTCGTGCTTTTTGAAACAATCATGTTTGTTTCAATATGAGTGTTGCTGAACAAAAAAACACAAGTGGAGTTCCAGGTAGTTTCAAGGGCCTCCAGCTCGCCCCGTTAGTTCCTGCGTAGTTGACTGGGCCGCGAAGATGGGTGACCATGAGCTGGTCAACCTCACGCAGGTGAAGCGTCAAACTGGGCAGAGCTGGCAATTTCACGAGGAGTGGGTCGAATGCGGCGAGACATGGATTCTGCTTTTCTCTTTTTCCGGATCGATCTCGAAAAGGTGCCTAGAGAAGGAGCACACAATCTCCTTTGGTAAAGTCAAATTTCACTCCAACTTTGCCACTGGTCCGAAGCCCGGGCAGAATTCTTTTCACCAGATAATATTGGGCAGATAAAGGACACCTTCAGGGAGTATGATTGATTTGTGAAATTGCTCCAAGTCTGATGGCAAACAATATAGGCGGTGCACAAGAACAAGTGTACGATTGTCGTCAAGAGCACGGACCCATATATCATTAAATAAAGAAGATGTCTTCCAGAGCCTTGCCAGGTTTATCAAGGCTTCTTCATGCAGCTGCCACGCACCGTCAGTGCCTAGGATAATGCTTGGTTTTTGAGCGGCCTTGTCGCTGATCCAGATTCTTGAACCCGAGAACCATTATCTACAAAACAGCAAGACTATGACTGCAGCCATACATATATTACATATAATAGATATGTTTACATTTACATATACATCAATTACTGTATACGTCAAGTCAATGTATATTGTTGATTGAAGGATGCTGAAACATCGCAACAGTTGAGCGGCTGACAATAGTAAAGTAGCCCCACTCCAACCCGCACAGTGAGGTTGGAATGATGACCCTCATTTTCTGCGGCGTGGATAGTGTCCGACGCTGGAGCCACGGCTAGGTGCACAGTTCCACACGAGCATGGAGAAACGTAAAGAACAAGAACTGACAGCTTTCCCGTGTGAGGTTGACGCATCGCATCGTTTAGTCAAGTGCAGTATGAAGGCACTTGTTAGTTCTATCACATTCATTCTAGCATCTTCTCCTGGCAGTTCTATTCCACACCCCAGACTTTCAGCAAATCGACTGTTGGAGTAGTTGTCGAGGCTTGACGAAGTGGTCAGGCATAACTCACTTCTCTACACAGGACACACCATGATGTGTTTTGTTGTTCCTACGTATGTATAAAACAAATCCCCAATGGCATAGTGCGATGTTGGAACAGGGTAGTTTTTGCGGATTATTGACTATGGACGTATGGATGCCATACAATTAAGGTTTGTATAAGTTTGTATTACCAAGACTGCGCTCATGCCCAGGTTGCTTGTTTGTTGCAAGCCGACAGAATCAGTCCAGATATAGATCCCTGCTTCAGAATAGACAGACTGGCCTACTGTTAGTCTACTGTAGAATCTAAAGCATTCTAAAGCATTCGGATATGGCAGAGAACTCCCACACTACTTGTCACTTGCAGCATGCTTTAAGGATATGCTTGAGGATTCTAAGTCTTCCAAGATCTAAATCCTTATGCAGAGAACTCCCACACAACGGGTGCCCTTGGCGTCGCACTCAGGTGAAGCTCTGAAACATCCGCACTGGCAGTTCTTGACCTGGGGTGGTGTGGACCGGGCACCCTGCGGCAGACCGTGTTTTCGACGTCGGATTTCGAGATGCCTTGTCAGATGGTTGGATCTTGAAGGCATTTCAATCGAAGACCGGCACATTGAAGTCCCTGCACCTGCAATGTGCCCAATTTGCTGGTGTGGCCGTTTGGAAGTGCTCGTCATGCCACAACTCACAAGTGGTGGTTGAAGGAGTTTGACCCATTTTGACCCCCGGAAAAAGAAGCCGACGCTTGCTAGCACGCTGCCTTCTTTCCTCGTTTGTCTCATTCTCACTGCCGTGTGGTCTCTCATTCTCGAGTCCAACCGCCATCGATTCTCTCCAAGTCCATGGTGAGCTTCTGGGTCATTTGGCCATTGGAGACGCTGAAGAATCAGGCGAGCCCAGCGGGACGTAAAACGACCCCCGCGTTTTCTCAGGAAAAGCGATCACGTTTCACATGACAACCAAGAACTACAAAGCTGGTTCTATGGACAACCTTTGACGGAAGACTGGCCAAGCTTTGGTGAGTAATTGATTACAGTATATTGCAGTAGTTATATACACTTCTGACTTCTAACTCTCAACTTTCCTTGCAAAGTTATCGCACTCAACTCTTCCAAGGTAAAATAGTTACCAGATTCAAGGGACTTTAGAGCTCACCGACAACACACATCCTCTCACGATGTCAGGGTTGAACACCAAGATAATTGCCAAGATATATGATATCATATTATGTAATATATTATAAAATAAAAGGTATGCTTCATTGCAGTCACACGAAGCATAGAGTGGTTGTCTTTCGGCAATCATTCACTTTGGAAGTGCACAGCTTCCAGGTGCAAGCCGGAACTGCGATTGATGGAAATGCCCAGCCAACGTTGAGGTGACTTGAAGACGTGTTATATAATTGCATGATGTTACCTGCCTTTGGATTCTGTGCACAGTGTTGGAAGACAGAAAACATCAGAAAACAGTCTTAGGCTCAAGATGTTTTAGGCTTTGATTGAGCTAAATGCAGTGATGAAACGACCAGGTGATGGACAAGACACTGACCTTGACTCACCTAAGGCAGCGCATTGCACATTTGGGTCCTCTAGGACTCTACAGAGGCCGACGTCACGTTTCGGTTCAAGAAGTGCATGTCGTGTTGGACAGTTTATATGGGGGATGGGTCAAAACCTGGAGCCCTGGTCGACCATGTAGCGAACAACCTTCCAGCCTAGGTTTCCTGTTTTGACCCACAGTCATATAAGGACTATCACTATAATATGTTGTTGTAGTTGTGGCTTCAGATTTCACAATCCCATGGGATGCGACTGTTCTTTTTTGGTTTCATCGCCCCCTGAGTTCTTTCATCACAGGGATCTTGCCTGGCTCCGTGAGCGTTTTCATGCGCAACGGCACGGCTTCCATCGCCCTATGCCCAGCGCTTTGCTTTGTCAATGGCCGATTTCAATTGCACTGCCTCATACTTGATTAGAAACTACAAAGCAGCATGTTTTGCACAAAGAGCTTCTGGATTGTCCCTCGCATTCTTTCCATGGAACATTTCCAAGGGAGAGTATTGCATTGAGGGTGGATAACAAAGCTAGGCCCGAAGAAACAAGTTTATAAGCCAGATACTTTGAGAAGAGTATATAAGGCGGCTAAAGGTGCTGATGCTTCTTTCGTTCAAGGTTATGTCTTTGGCCCAGCGGAAGATCTCTGAGTCAAAATCTCAACTTACTGATCAGTGGAATGTTTGCCTGCAGGCTTAACATGGCAAGTGTTTTTGCCGCTAGGTGGAAGATCCACACGTCTTGTCATGCGCACAAGGGCTCACTTTGACTCAAATTCTTAACCCAAGATTGGTGGAAGAAGGGACGAAGACAAACAAGCAGGACAATGAATGATCAACGATGAAGTTTTTTGCCCAACAAGCAAGCTCAGGTGGGGCCTGAGATGAGAGACAAGCAAACCACCCATGAGCAGCCATTTGCTGTGCTTGCTTTGCGGTTGCAGAAGGAACGAAGGTACAGACCTGCAGAGAGTGGTAGAGATGATTTCAATAGGAAAGAAGAAAGGAACCTAAGAAGGTAAGGGCCCCCTCATATAATGTGCCCTTTTTCCTGTCTGAGTCTTAATGCATATCTGTTTTCTATGCGTGTCCTTTCTTATTTGAGCGCGGACGCTACGAACGGGGCTCCTGGCCGTTACGAATGGAACAAGACGGGCATCGCCTCCGAACGGAGCCGGTCGGACGCCTCCGACGGCGAGACGAACTCCAGGAGTCGACAAGTAGCGAGTGGCGGCGAGGCGAGGCGGCGCGGCGAGCCATGGCCTGAGCGTCACTGTTGGTGCAATTGGTTGAGCTTCAGTCCGGAGAAATCTCCAGATTTCTTAAGAATTCATGAATACACTGAAGTCTGACTTTGGTACAGCTGGATCCTGCTAAGGTCCTAGCTCTTCCTGATGCTGTTGGACGGACGATGAGACTTGAGACGCAAAAGATCACGCTGCTGAAATTGGGAAACTAACAAGTTATGAGTTTTGGAAGCCTTGAGATCTGAAAGAACCAGATTTCTTGACACGAGGCAAGTGGTAGTCGCTGTCACAACTTGAACACGTAGTACAAGGTGACAGGCCACGATGAACTTTGATGTGCAATCCTCGCTGCTCCAGAAATACCGGCTAATTCATGAATATGAGTTGCAGGTTCACTACAGGTCACAGTGGCCGAGATATTGTACTGTAGAATAGTGAAGTTGCATTCGATATGTTCCAGGAGTCATTGACGGCCAGCCTTAAGGATATGAACCAGTCATGAAGTCAGCACTAGTCAGTTGCGACTGAATCGCAATGCCAAGCAGATGATTACCAAGAGTAGATTCTCCTTGAGACTACTTGTACAACTTTGAACACTAATGCTGCTCGCGTCGCCGGCTCATGTCGCCGGACCTACATTGCCAGCAGCGTTCGCACGACCAACCCCAGAAGTCTCAGGCACAAGCTAGGTTTGATTTGAAGTCAGGCCTTTGCATGAAAGGTTGCTGTTGCTTTTGGAAGGATATCAGACAGCTGATCACCGTTGGATTGTTTCTTTGGGCATTCCGGTATACCAGGAGGAGTAGAGTATTGCTGAGTGGTCGGTCGACGACGTGGGCTCCAAAGAATTGGAAGTCTCCGGGTTATAAAAACAGCAGCAGTCTCCAGGTAAGCACTGCTTCTTTGAAAGCACTATGCAATAGGTAAGCACTGCTTCTTTGATCGGATATATCAGATTTCATTGTCTCAATCATAAGTACTCACAGGGTGTGACTAATGTCAATCGAAGGACGAGGAATTGGGCAGTTGACCACCTGCAAGAACTTGGAACACTCTTCATGCACGTATAGAGATAGACCAGCAGACGTTGCGAGCCATGCATAGGACATCATACAACACAACAGCAAAACTAAGCATGTGAACAGCTAGTCTTGACCTGACTAGTTGCCCCTTGACCTGCAGCGTTGACGCTTGCTTGGTGAGGTGCGTTGTTTCCCACAGCGAAGTTTTGGTATGTGCCTAGCTCAGTCCCTGGTTCAGCACCTCAGAGCAATGGTTCATCACCACCACATGAGGACTTGCGAGTCACTCTCAACTTGGAATTTAGCAATACAGTTAATATCTCATGTTTCTAGGTAGAGTTGCTTTTGCTGGAAGTTCATATCTACGTGACAGGTTCTGTAGGAGTGGAAGGACTTGAAGGTCATACCACTTTGCCTGACCTTCGCAGTTCAGTGTGCTCAAGAGAAGTCAAGTCTAGATGCATGCTACTAAGTCAGTAAAGACATGAAGAGGCTTAGTTCTGTCTACGCTACTCTAGCTGCTCAAAGGCTGCTGCTATTTTTAAAGGAGTCCGCCATAATTTGCCTAGAAGAGCTTCTGTGCACAATGGAAGAGCTGATGGAGCCAACTGGATTTCATCGTTTGCCCCGGGTGCAAACACTTCAGCCCAGGCTTCCAGAGGAGACCAAAAGCGTTTGTCAAGTTTGTGAGCATCATTATGGACAGGTTGGCAACAACTTGCCTTGCAAGAGTCAAATGTAGAAAGTGCAGAAAATGGGTTCACTAGAGAAGGAATCCAATGGATCAACAAGCCAAGCTTCATTGCTTGATTTGGCAAGCAAGATGGACCTGCACTCTAGTTTGAATTGCTTTCTTCCTGCAAGGAGCATGACAGCAGCGTTCGCTTCGATGTATCAGATACTTTCTCAAAATGTCCAGGGTTTGTGCTTGAAAGCAAGGGACTAATTTCAACAGCTCAAGATGTCCCAGCATGTTCTGATGTGCGAAGCTTGTTCTGCTCAGCTAGGCTGTTCCATTGCTAGGAAATCGGATGCACCTGAACAGCCCGGCAAGATTCTTAAGGTTGGTGATGCACCTGCTTCCGAAGTCGAATCACCTCGGATACTATCAGAGACCTTTCAAAACTTGATGGAACGACTTGCGCATCAGCATCTTGCAGAGCTGCCCCTGAGCAGAATTAACTGCTTCCCTGCCGTGGTTGTGTGATCGAAACAATGTTGAATTGTTAGGACCTGTTTTTTTGCATCCCCCATGACTGAAGCAGTTCCTTATGAAGTGACGATCCTTTTCTCTTATGAAATGCAACATTCCAAGGGATATTTGTTTAAAGCTCCATTTGGACGTACATGCGCATTTTTCCGGAATGCATTCCCCAAGCACACGTGGTGCAGCTGGCTGCGGCAAAATTGCTGTCGCAGCCGGGTCTCTTGAGCGTGTTGGGCAGTTTTGCCTTGTACAGGAACCATGCGAAGAAAGCCCTTGGGATGTCGCCGCATGACTGGGCCGATCTCGGCAAGGACAATGCGTGGCTGCGCTGAGACAAAACAGACTTCTCATCGCAGCGCTCTTGGCGCGCGTGTACGGCCAAATGGGCCGTTGTTTAAACATAAGGGCATGTATTCTGGCAAAGTATTTTGGATAACTACCTAAGATTTGGAGTATCAATATACACGGGCCATTTAATAAACTTCAGTAACTTGAAGAGTGAGTGACAGTAATAGAGGGCATTAAACCCATAAATATCATTTTATAAAGAATTCACTTGAGCCACATTTTTTGCAATTGATTAGGTTTATACAAAAAGGGAACTGTTGAGAAGTTGCGGAGGCTGTTCTGCTTGGGACGTAGGCATCGTGTAGGTGGGTGTTGAAAGACTTGCGTAGGCAGTCTTGCGTAGGCACACTTTTAATGAAAGCATGAGTTGTCTTATTTCCTGTTCAGACTTCTTTAAAAGCTCTTCAAGGGTCTTGGGAAAAGATAATGTTGGACTGTAGATGTTTAATTTGACACTTGCTTGCAAATTCCAGTGGGGAACGCAAGGAAAATGACCTGCAATGGCATGGCTACAGTGGATGGTCCAAGTTTGGTTGTCGAAGCTGTGGGGGCACATTGGATTTTGAGGTCAAAAGCTTGAAGATGCTTGGCCTGGCACACCGGCTCTTGAGCCACAAGTGTGCACACCCTTGGTACCATAGTCGATGGAGCAAACTGAACTCTGCACCGCCCGACGCTTGGAGACATTTTGGCTCAAGGTGGGTAAGCCAAACTGGCATCAGCTGATCTTTAAACCAACCTCTCCCTCCCTGGTTACCCAGCCTCACATTGAGTTCCCCGGTATCGGGGACCGGGGTTCCGGTGGGTCATGGCGCCGACGCCACGGCGCCTCTGGGTGGAGAAAAGCCCCCCCTGCATGCGACGTGAAGACGTGAAGACTTCACCCCGGCGGGTGCGACCGGCGCGTCGTGCGCCGGGCCTTCCAGGGACTGGCCCACATGTGAAGCGCGTGAGTCTCGGGGAGTATGCAGGTGAAAAATTGCTAGACCAGGTAGCATTCTATCAGCTAAACGCTGAGGCTTCTCCCTTCAAGGGATAACAAAGCGCACATCCAGCTGCAGGCAGGTTGAGCACAAGAGGAAGCGAGCCGATGAATAGAAACGTGTGGAGTGCGAAGGTGAAAGCATCAGAGAAATTTCTTGGAAGGCTAATAATTTAACAAAGACGGGCCATTTGGAACCCCCAAAAACATGAAGCTATTGTTTTGACCGTTTCGCAAAATATGTTGAAGAAGACTGAGAACTGGAAGAGGAAGACACTGGATTGTTGAAAATAATGAAGCACTAGGAAATCAACTTGGACAGAGCAGTGAAAGAGAGATTGTGAGCACATATAGGGCTTGCAGCTTTAAAGTGGTGGAAAGAGGAATTGTAGCCCTAGGGATGTCGCCGCATGACTGGGCCGATCTCGGCAAGGACAATGCGTGGCTGCGCTGAGACAAAACAGACTTCGCATCCCAAGGCCGTGGGGGACAGCTGCGCTCTTGGCGCGCGTGTGCGGGCAAATGGGCCGTTGTTTAGACATAAGGGCATGTATTCTTGCAAAATATTTTGGATAACTACCTAAGATTTGGAGTACCGATATACACGGGTCATTTAATACACTTTAGTAACTTGAAGAGTGAGTGACAGTAATAGAGGGCAGGTAAAACCATAAATATCATTTTATAAGAATTCACTTAGCGAGGTGTCGGAGGCTGGTCAGAACACGCTTTCTCTTTTTATAAAGATCACGTTCTGGACTGGAGTTTGAATTTGTGTTTTGGTTTGCAATTCTTGACTGAATTTTGATCTTGAAACCAAGCATGTTAATTGTGTAAAGGCTACTGATGTCGCATCTTACGGACATTCTCGATTCGCAATTCTCAGTTCATAAGTTGTCTCTCCTGGATGTAGGTTTATTTTAACCTATCATGACCTATGCTTCTCATTTATAAACTAGTTGGTTCTTATCTCTTTTAACCAAAACACCTATCCCTCACATTTTTTAAACCCGCCTATGAACAATCAGGGGATTTTTTTGCGGGAGAAAACAAAAACATGTTTCATGGTATGGGGATCCATTTACATAACAGTGTTGCAGAGCCCTAGAAGTTGATGTGACCAGCGCCCGCTCTGAATGAGAACTGGGACCACCTTGCTTGGAGCGAATGTATCTGTATCCCCGCTACAGTTTCGTTTGCAAAATCGGGTATCCTGAAATCACCAAAAGGGTGCAACTTTACTTGTCAAACAATACCCTCATGGCATAGATGCGCCTTTGCTGTTGGTGTGTTTCTATATGAGCAACCGCCAAAACGTGCAACGACTAATTTGGTAAAGAGCGCTCATGAACCGCAGGAGTTGGGCTAGAACCTGCAAACGCGATGTGCCTCCTCAAAAACGACAACCCTGTTTGCGTAGTTTTTGAATGTGTTCAGCTATGTTGACATGGTGGCAAAAACCTGCAAAAAGCAGTAGGCCCCCCTCAAAAGTGATAACCTTGCTGAATCATGTCCTTTGCTTGACAGTACATTTTGGCAGACGCTCATATGTTTTTTGTTTTGCATGTTGAAGTGGATCCAGTTGAGGTGTGTGGAAAATTCTTAAGCTTGCAGATAATTGATTACATTGGGAGTCCTGAGGTTTTGTGGCAACCTGAACAACAGATACTCAACCCGGGATACCTGACTCTATAGGAGTTTTTACCAACACAGTCGCACGCTCATTTTGTAGGAGAAGTGGTGGGCGGATAGTTACCAACCCCAATGCCATACAAATTCAAACACAACAACATCAACGGCATCAAATTTGTTTGTGTTTCTTCATCAATGAAGATGACACGACCACTGCGCTACCAAAGGATCAGTGGCCTAGATTTTGGGGTGCACGGAAGGGGTGACATAAAGATATATGATAGATGGCAACATCAGCATCAGGGATGGGCGATGATTGGAGTTGCAAGTTTGGATGAAGTCGCAAGGGAGACAAACTACTATGATATTGCTTGTTTGAGACTATCATCACTAGTCAGAAGAGGTGGTGACATTTTGGCTCAAGGTGAGTAAGCCAAACTGGCATCAGGTGATCTTTAAACCCACCTCTCCCTCCCCCTTCCAGGGGCTGGCCCACATGTGAAGCGCGTGAGTCTCGGGGAGTATGCAGGTGAAAAATTGCTAGACCAGGTAGCATTCTATCAGACAAGGGATACAACAAAGCACACATCCAGCTGCAGGCAGGTTGAGCGCAAGAGGAAGCGGGCCGATGAATAGAAACGTGCGGAGTGCGAAGGTGAAAGCATCAGAGAAATTTCTTGGAAGGTTAATAATTTAACAAAGACGGGCCATTTGGAACCCCCAAAACATGAAGCTATTGTCTTGACCATGTCGCAAAATTTTTTGAAGAAGACTGAGAACTGGAAGAGGAAGACACTGGATTGTTGAAAATAATGAAGCACTAGGAAATCAACTTGGACAGAGCAGTGAGAGAGAGATTGTGAGCACATATAGGGCTTGCAGCTTTAAAGTGGTGGAAAGAGGAACTGTAGCGAATGTATCTGTGATAGGTTACCTTAAAGACAGGGCTGCGCAGAGGCATTTGTAGAGAACATAAGGGCCAGCTGCTAGGCATGCCATCTCATAGGTGGGGCAAACACACAACTTTAGGGGAGTATCTTTCCACCAAGCGCAACTCCAAAGAAAACCATCAATTTTCACCTGTTTTTGTGGTGATGTACTTGTGGCTTGTAGTGTTTTTGAAGGTCGAAGCTGAACAGCGCAATAGGTCACCCTTTTGTATTGCGGAACTACATACCTTTCTCCGGCAGTGCTTTTTAGATTGGATGCTGTGTGGAATGTAAGTCATGGAGTCTAGCTCAGGTCCGTTGCTCGCGGCCTCAGCAGAGGGCCTTCAACTGATGCAGCCAGTGCACGAGGGTCAGTCACATCACCATCACCCTGTGCGGAGTCACTGCAAAGTCCGGGCTCAGCCGTTGAGGATTAACGGGGAGTGAGATGAACTTGGTCGGACGCAAAATGTGAAGTAACCTTATCAACCGAAAATTGTGAAGCAAACCAACAGAACCGACTTGCGATATTGGATGACGACTTGTACGTTAGAGGAACATTGGTAAACAATGTTCTATCCACCCCATTCCAATCCCATCAATTACAATATGAATTCTTGGTTTTGGGTCAACATTACGACAAAGCATCATCATTCTCCATGACACCGTGATTGATGAAATTTGACACTTCTACCCAACACCTCCCCTTAGATCTACAGGAGACGGGCGATGCCCGCCGGCGCCGCAGAATCTCCCAGCTGATGAGCACCGTGGCCAGTAGTTTCTTGTTCCTAGTAGTGATGCCAGGAGCCCCTAGTAGCGATGCCCTTTGCTCCTAGTAGTTTCTTGTTCCTAGCAGGGTTCGTGGGGTTCTAATGATTTTTCAAGCAACAAAGAAAGACCAGAGACTGGCCGGTAGTCTTTGGCGGAGGGACAGGCGAATATAGCAGGGATTGCCCTGTTCAGGCTGCAAGATTTTCAGTTTGATGCAAAACACAGCAGAATTTCAAAACTAAATTTGTTTAGGAAGAGAATCGGACAAAATATCCAGATGGTTGTGCACAAAAGGTCTCTCAAGCAGAACGCTCCGAAAAATAGGTGTTTTCTATACTGGACTAAGGACGATACTAGGGGCTCCTGGCCTTACTACTAGGAGCAAGGACGCTACTAGGGGCTCCTGGCATCGCTACTAGTAACAAGGTGCGCTACTAAGAACAAAGAGCATCGCTACTAGGAGCAAGGACGCTACTAGGGGCTCCTGGCCCTACTACTAGGAACAAGAAGCTACTAGAAAAGGGGTGGCAATGTTGCAGAAATTCAGATAATTACGCTTCAAACAATCCAGGGTATGCACCACAAGGAACTGGAGTCTTGAAGGCGTTGGGTCTTGGGACGATGCAGTTGGATTGAATTCATTGGCAGACTGCTCTTTTGAATTCATGCAGCTGCTGGGTAATTTTTTTTTGTGCTGCAAAGTTTAAGGGGAAACCCTTGCTTAGCTTGATGACAGGCGGTCAATAAGCAGAAAACTGATGAAAAGAAAGTGGTTCTAACAGATTGATCGGTTACGTTGTGGAAGAATGCATTCTGGTTCATGAAGGATCTGTTTCTTACAACTTACTGATGGGGCTTTCTGCGTGTTGCTTTGCCCTTAAACAGTTTAAAGTTTAGTTTTTCCCAGTGGCAAATCTCACCATGGCATCAAGGCCAGCAGCACAGGAAGGCTCCAAAGATGTCAGCCTCGAGGTGTGGAGTGAGAAAGTGACATCCTTGTAGTTTCTGTTGGATTGAAACACTGTGGATTTGGGCGTGTCTCAAGAGAAGTGGGATGTTATGACAAACCCAAATGTGTAAACAAAATCTCAACGTGGCCAGTGGCACAGGAAGGAATTAATGAATGGAGTAGGAATAGAGTTGCAGTTGAACAGTTTTGATCACCCTTTCATTGCTTCACAAACAATTTGTTTGTGGGTGGTAAGTAGCCTCCCATAATCCAGTGTACAAGCGACTTGCTTAGGCATGGAAACTCTGACACTGAAGGAATTGTCAAACGCAGCAATCATGGAGAATGCTCCGGTGTTCTACACCTCTTCTTTGGAATGGGTGGGGGAGAATATGTATTGAAGAACCCTGGCTTTCCCCGCCTCCCCAATTTGCATTGGTCACGACTAGCCATTCGCACAGGATCATGAAGACTTTTGATGAGTCTCAGCTTCCTCAGCTTCCTGTGGAGACAGTTGATGAGGGGGAGCTCGTGCAACATCAGCCGTCGTTTCTCGGCACAACTCACAACATGGTGCAGTTCTGCAGTGAGAACACGTTGCGAGAGTAGGCGAGTAGGCAACGTTGTGAGGTGGGCCAAGGTGGACAGGGAAACAACGTCCCTTCCCGCTTGAAGAGGAATGCAAGAGGCATCCAGATGACACAGAAATCCTGAAGCTGTCACACTTGGTTTGGGGTGAAGGTGAAGGCCATTCCAGTGATAGGCTACATGGTCGAGCCTAGATAGGCATCAACATATGACTATACTACTTGTATATTATATATAATTATATAAAGAGATTGGATTATGCGTTAGCAGTAGTGACAGTGAGAGTAGCTGAGTGAATAGTTATTTGCCATTGGAACAAGGAGGCTGGCAGACAACCTCGTAAGAGAGATGTTGGCTTTGGCTCCGACTCCTGCGATATGGTTTGTACGTGAAGTGAACCAGGTTCTATGAGTTACTGTATGTTGTACAATATTACATATATATATATAATTGAAGAGGTCAGCCTGAAGCGGTACAGGCTTATGCTACTAGATTTCAGACAAGATGCTACAATGGTTCAATGGCTAGCCAACCTGTTTTGAAGTAGCCAATCTTGGAATCGGTCCAGCTAGAAATGAGTGCTGTTGTGGTTCTGAAACACCAGGTATTCCAGCTGTTTCAGGATTTCAGGACTAGTAGGTTGCACAATGTCACTCTCCTTGGTACTTTCTCACAATGCTTCAGCACACTCCTTTGCGCACCTCCAACTGTCGGAGTTGTTGACAGCTGTGGGAATTGATCAGATCGAGGACACGTTTGGGACTATTTCGAGAGTGGCTGCAATCATCACATTATGCATCTCGTCAGATGCAACAAAGGCGCGATACATCGGGTTCAGAGAGATACATCCTACCGGAAACCTGCTTTAGAATGGACGAAAGTATCGGACGCTTTCCGGACCGTTCGCTTTCGGATCTCAGACACGGACAGGGCCGTGCCGTTAAGGAGTTCCGACATGCCGAGAAAAGCAAGCACTTGGGCCGTCGGGGTGATGCCGTTTGCCGTTTTCTGCATGTCCTGTTTTAAAGCATGGCCTTCCAATCACATGCATGGGTCTACACATGTCTACAACGACAACATCATGAACTTCAGCTGAGTGGCCTCTCAGGGTTCTTGGTGCAAATGATAAATGGTTGAGTCAACCATCATGCCCTTTCCCTTCAAAGCGAGATGCTGTACACACCCGATCACCAGACTGCTCAGTCCACTCTTCTCGGTCGCGGAAGGGTCCTTCTCACTTCTCCAAAAAGCAGAGCCTCCCGCGATCGGTCCATCATGGTCCATGGTCCATGAGGAGTGCGTTGTGATCCCTTCGGAAAGTCCCACCTCTTTGGGTTGTTTTTGGCTGGGGTGCAGTGGTACCGGTCCCGATCCCCTTGCAACATCTGTCTATGAGAACGTACAGAGCACGATGAGATTCAGACAAAATCAACCACTGAGTCCTTGTCTTCAGTATTTTGCAGCCATGAACGGAAATTGCTAGGCGGTGGTTTCATGTGTGAGGATGTCAAGGTTATAGCTTACATCACTAAGGAGATGTGTGTAGCAGCCCTTCTTTCGGTGTATGTTCTTTGGCTGGGCTTCGAGCTGCAAGTCTATGGCGCACGCACTGCTGTTGAGATAGGCCTTTTTCCAGGCGGAGCCGACGATTATATGATGGTTGCGTTTGGGCACTCTGAGCCCTGTTTTCTGAGTCACATAGCTGTGAGTCTCCACACAATATTCTTGTGTTTATGGAAATCAACTACTTACAACTAGATACGACTAGTAAACATTAAATTAGCTGCAATTTGTGTCGTCAATGGAAAACCGTCCAAGCCAAAGATTGCACATCATTTCTACTGTCAGCAGAGTTTGGTTAGAGACAATGGCTACATGCAAGTAGCTAAATGCACAGATGCGGACATCGGACTGCAGTACCCCTGACTGGAGATGATATGCACGAGTTGCTGTTCGTTAATGTTTGTCGTATAATGGCTACCTGACTTGCAGACTCCAGGCGCACTCATTCCTGAAGCAAACTTCTCTCATTGGGATGTGGTGATTTTTCCTGCAGCGGACATGTGCTTTACAGCAACCTGGCCTTTGAAGGAGACAGTGCAGCTCATGTGTCAAGTGCGTCCTTTTAGATCCTTTTAGAATGAATCAGAGCAATTTAATGCAAGTTGTGTGACTGTCAAGATGGTGCGCCACACAAATGTGTTGCAGTGGCATTTGTTCTTAGCAATCCGATGTCCTGTAGAAGGCATTATGTTCATTTTGCTGAGTCATTTGAGAAGTTTACTGTAGCTGTCTACACAACCTCGCTTCACTGCATGAGCTGACATGGAGTGTGCATGAAGGCTCAGTGACTTGGAAGGTAGGCTTTATCACCCACGAAGTTGGGCTTCTGCAAGAGTCCTGCCGCTCTAGGCCCTATTCTCTATTGATGTGATTGTGCGAGTGATCGTCCTCCGCAAAACATTTTGGAAGGCAGAAGTCGAGCAGCAGCCGCAGTTTGCATTGACACGAAGGGATCATTCATGTAGAAATGACTGCACAAAACATGAACTCACCATAGTTTTAGCTTCCTGCAGAGTACATGCTTCAAGAAGAGCAGAGTCATATGAGGTTTGCTGCATAACGACTCAGCTTGACTTTTTAGGCCTCACAAATCCCAAGCCCAAGCCATTGTTTATGACTCGACTCGACCTGTTCTTTGTTGAGACACATCGATTGGTGCTACAAAGGGTTCTTGAAGATTGTGAGCAAATCCAGAGAAATCACAAAACATATCATGTTGGATGTCACAAAGCGAAGCAGCTGTTCCGACACGTCAAGAAACGCTGCAAAGATGTATTCAAATCTTTGCCTGTCAACATGGTTGCACAGAACTGCGAGACATGAGGGCCACCAATGTTTTTCCGGAATGCATAGCGAAGGGTTCTCGTTTAACTCTGGGGGTTTGGGGGTAGAGCCTTGTTCGCGACTCGTTGTCTCAGCGTCCGCAACCGTTCGCAACTGTCCGCAACAGTGTTTGCATTCGGGTTCGTGGGTTCCATCTTGTTTCATCTAGCAGCTATAGCTGGTTTCGAAGTTAAGAGCAAGGAGTGGAGCGGTTGTTAGAACATAGGATTTATCATCGTGCCATCCGCTCATTCAACACAATATTTTGCGATGTCAGTGGAAAACCCATGATGACCTTAGATCTCAGGGAATTGTTCCTTAAATGAGAGTTGTGAAGGAGGCAGCTAAATTCTGCTGCTGTGCAGAGAGCATTCAGAATATGTATGCTTTTGCCATGGCAGTGGGAGCACATGTGCAGCCTAGGAGGTATGCCTAACAGTCTGAGATGTGGACGAAACATTTTTTGCTACGCTATACAGCTGAGCCACAGTAGCGGAAAGAACATTAAATCGCCCATGTTGCTACGATGTGCAGCTGAACTACACTCTGAGTCATTAAGATGGAAGCGGAAACAAACTTTTTGTGGAGGAAAATGGTCATGCCATGTTTCAGTGTTTCACTTCCATGATTGATTAAGGGAGGGTACATGACGGAAAGGACATTTTATCGTGCACATATTGCTATCGTTTCATCTCTTGTCGTGGAGGTCGCCATGAATTACATTGACATCCTTGTGACTCTCGCCTCTTTCATCGAAGTGATCTTTTTTTATGTCTACACAACGCCAATGGCCGTGAATCCAATGTGCTGTGGCGGCAGTTTGATCGCAAAATCCAGTCAAGTTATATATCAACCGTAACTTGTAGCATCACCCAATTCTTTGGAATGTCCTTGTAGGCACAAGGACGCTACTAGTAGCTCGTGGCCTTACTACTAGTAACAAGAAGCTATTAGGAACAAAGGGCATCGCTACTAGGAGCAAGGACGCTACTAGGGGCTCCTGGCCTTA